TCAAAAAAAAAAAAAAAAAAAAAAAAAAAGAAAATAAAATGAGCCTCTTGTAGACAATTATGGGCTTTTAAAAAAATCTCTTCTTCCAAACTCTGTTATTTAACTGGGGAGTTTATTCCATTTACCTTTAAAGTAATCACTGATAACAAGGACTTACTTCTGCCATTTTGCTATTTGGCTATATATTTTTGTTTCTTAAATCTTCTAATATTGCCTTTTGCATTAATAGATTTTTTGCAATGTGCTGTATTGATTTTTTTCTCATTACCTTTTTGATGTTTTTTTCCTTCTTTTTTCCTTTTTCAGTTTCTTTCCTCTGACAGGATCCAAGACACTCAGTTTGCTTGAGTTTTTTTTTTTTTTTTTTTTGAGACGGAGTTTCACTCTTGTTACCCAGCCTGGAGTGCAATGGCGCGATCTCGGCTCACCGCAACCTCTGCCTCCTGGGTTCAGGCAATTCTCCTGCCTCAGCTTCCTGAGTAGCTGGGATTACAGGCACGTGCCATCATGCCCAGCTAATGTTTTGTATTTTTAGTAGAGACAGGGTTTCACCATGTTGACCAGGATGGTCTCGATCTCTCGACCTCGTGATCCACCCGCCTCGGCCTCCCAAAGTGCTGGGATTACAGGCTTGAGCCACCGCGCCCGGCCTGCTTGAGTTTTAAAATGACATTTCCTTTGCCCCAATTAATGAGCAATAAAGACATAAATCCATTTGGCCAACTGAACAGGGGTTTTTTCCCCATATTTTAAAAAGTTCTTTTTCTATTGGCCAGGGATAGTGGCACAGGCCTGTGGTCCTAGCTACTCAGGAGGCTGAAGTGGGAGGATTGCTGGAGCCTAGAAAGTTGAGGCTGCAGTGAGCCGTGACCATGCTACTGCACTCTAGCCTGGGTGACAGAGTGAGACCCTGTCTTAAAAACAAAACAAAACTGATTTTCCTTGTGGCCATCTTGGAGATTACAATTAATATCTTAAATTTAAAACAATCTCTTTAGGCACAATGGTATGCACCTGTAATCCCAGCTACTCAGGAGGCTGAGGCAGGAGGATCTTTTGAACCCAGGAGTTTGAAACCAGCGTGGGCAACATAGTGAAACCTTATCTAGAAAAAAGCCAAGCGCAGTGGCTCACACCTGTAATGCCAGCGTTCTGGGAGACTGAGGTGGGCAGATCATGAGGTCAGGAGATTGAGACCATCCTGGCTAACACGGTGAAACCCTGTCTATACTAAAAATACAAAAATTAGCAGGGCGTGGTGACACGCACCTGTAGTCCCAGCTACTGGGTAGGCTGAGGCAGGAGAATCACTTGAACCCAGGAGGCAGAGGTTGCAGTGAGCCAAGATCACACTCCAGCCTGGGCAACAGAGCAAGACTCTGTCTCAAAAAAAAAAACAAACAGAAAACATCTAGCAATCTAGCTTGAATTAATACCAACGTAGCCTCAATATTCATAAAGATTTTACCTAATATATCTGCATCTTTTCTTGTTATGTTGCTAATGTCACAAATTGTATCTGTATACATTGTATGCCAATTATCATAGGTTTACAATTATTTTATGCATTTGTTTTTTAAATCATATAGACAAAAAACAGGAGTTACAAACCAAAAATGCAATAACACAGGCTTTTATATTTATACATGTAGTTACCTTATTATTGTTCCTTATTTCTTTATATGGCTTCAAGTTACATCTAGTGTCCTTTCATTTCAGGCTGATGAACTCTCTTTAGCATTTTTGGTAAGGCAAGTCTCCTGGCCAGGAATTACTTCAGCTTTGATTTATCTGGGAGTGTCATAATTTTGCCTTCATTTTTGAAGGATAGTTTTGCCCGATATATAATTCTTGATTAGCAGGGTTTTTTTTTTAAAGCACTTTAAATACCGTTGTCTCTTGGTATCTTTTTGGGGATTGGTTCCAGGACCCTCCTGCAGATATCAACATTCACAGACACTCAAGTATCTTATATAAAATGGTGTGGACAAGGCATGGTGGCTCACGCCTGTAATTCCAGCCTTTAGGACGCAGAAGCAGAAGGATTGCTTGAGCCCAGGAGTTTGAAACCAGCCTGGGTAACATAGTGAGATCTTGTCACTACAAAAAAATAAAAATTTAAAAAGACTGTAAAAAAAATAATAATAGCTACTCGAGAGGCTGAAGCAATAGCTTGAGTCCAGGAGGAGAAAGCTTCAGTGAGCTATGATCACACTACTAGCCTGGGTGACAGAGCAAGACCTTGCCTAAAAAAAAATACTAATAAAAATAGCCAGGCATGGTGGCTCAAACCTGTAATCTCAGCACTTTGGGAGGCCAATGCGGGCAGATCATTTGAAATCAGGAATTTGAGATCAGCCTGGGCAACATGGTGAAACCCTGTATCTACTAAAAATATAAAAATCAGCTGCGGGTGGTGGTGCATGCCTGTAACTCCAGCTACTGGGGAGGCCAAGGCAGGAAAATTGCTCAAACCCAGGAGATGGAGGTTGCATTGAGCTGAGATCATGCTACTGCACTCCAGCCTGGGTGACAGAGTGAGACTCCATCTAAAAAGAAAAACAACAACACACACACAAAAACTAATAAAAATAAAAAATAGAATGTTATAATATCTGCCCAAAACCTACGTACATCCTCCCACATACTTTAAATCATCTCTAGATTACTTATAATTCCTAATACAATGTAAATGCTATGTAAATTGTTGTTATACTATACAGTTTAGGGAATCGTGAGAAGAAAAAGTCTGTACATGCTCAGTACAGACAAAATCATTCTCCCAGGTATTTTTGATTCATGCTTGGTTGAATCTACAGATGCAGAGCCTATGGATATAAAGGGCCAACTTTATGTTATGTCCTTGGTTTCTGGAACTGAATCTGTTTTTAGTATTATTGAAGACCCATTGCACATAATAAGCTGCTTCTCTCTTGCTGTTTTCAAGATTCTCTCTTTATCTTTGTGTGTGTTTTTTTTTTGTTTTTCCTCTTTCCTTTTTTTGTTGTTCAAAGGTGGTATTCCTTATATTCACAGAAGCCTTCATTTTGTTATTTTGGTGGTTAGCCAGTGACCTAACATATAATTTCTTAAATTCCTGGGGCCAAAAAAGTAGTTTTTTTTTTTTTTTTTTTTTTTTTTTTGAGATGGAGTTTCACTCTTGTTACCCAGGCTGGAGTGCAATGGCGCGATCTCGGCTTACCGCAACCTCCGCCTCCTGGGTTCAGGCAATTCTCCTGCCTCAGCCTCCTGAGTAGCTGGGATTACAGGCACGCGCCACCACGCCCAGCTAATTTTTTGTATTTTTAGTAGAGATGGGGTTTCACCATGTTGACCAGGATGGTCTCGATCTCTCGACCTTGTGATCCACCCGCCTCAGCCTCCCAAAGTGCTGGGATTACAGGCTTGAGCCACTGCGCCCGGCCAAAAAAGTAGTTTTGTTTTGTTTTTTAAAAAAGAAGAATAAAGAAACGAATAAAAAGAAGAAAGAAGAAAATGAAAAAAAAAGGAAGGAAGGAAAAAAGAAAAAATTTTCTATTTCCTCACAGATTGGCTCTGTATGGAGTCACTCCTAAGCTTAGCTAGGCACTTTACAGCTCTATTTTCGCCTTCACTTCCTGCTTGTGCTGAGCCCAAAGACCAGAGAGAGATGAAAGTTTATTGCCTTATTGGGCCTTTTCTGCACATGAGTCCTACCCTGGGGGTGTGCTTTCTAGGCTCTCTAGTACACATGGAAACTTTTTGAAGCCCTTATTCTTCCAAAAATATCACTCCCAAATTTTTCCCGGTTTTTCAGGTGTCAGTTGTTTGCCCCAACTGTCATTTTTGCTCCAGGTAGCAGTGTCTTGTTCTTTTGTTCTTCAGCAATTTTCAGGAAACAACCTCTGTTTAGCTGCTCTGCCTTGAGAGAGTTCTGAGATAGGTGAAGCAAAGAGAATTTCCTTTCATCAGTTCTTTGGAGGAAACTCCAGACAATCAAAAAGACAAACACAATTCATTGGGAACAAGATCTTCTCTGCTTCCTCCCTAACTAGGAACCCCCACCAGAAATTTGAGCTGCTGTCTTCAAGACTAGCTCTGTGCTGGGGAAGGGGTTGGAGTTAGGGTAAGTTAAAACATCAGACGGGGTGTGGTGGCTCACGCCTGTAATCCAAGCACTTTGGAGGCCAAGGCAGGTGGATCACCTGAGGTCGGAAGTTCAAGACCAGCCGGCCCAACATGGTGAAACCCTGTCTTTAAAAACAAAACAAAACACCATAGAGATCTCTTCCATATTTAAGTTGCCTTTCTCCTGGTTAAGCATTGGTTGCTGTAAACCTCTATCTTTCAGAGTTAAAATAAAGTTGTTTCTGGTCATTTTTGTTAGGTGTTTTGGGGGATGGATGGATTCTTGGAGTTCTTTCACTGATGTCATCTTCTTTATCCATTTTTAAATTGGGTTATTTGTCTTTTTATTATTGAGTTGTAAGAGCTCTTTATATATTCTGGGTACAAGTTACTTGTCAGGTACACAATTTAAAATTGTTTAGCATGAGAACATATTACTTTTTTTTTTTTTTGAGACAGAGTCTTGCTTTGTTGACTAGGCTGGAGTTCTGCCCTCTGGGTTCAAGCAATTCTCCTCGTTCAGCCTCCCTAGTAGCTGGAATTACAGGCATGTGCACACCTGGCAACTTTTTGTGTTTTTTGCAGAGATGGGGTTTCATCATGTTGGTCAGGCTGGTGTCAAACTCCTAACCTCAAGTTAGGATCTTTCAGCCTCAGACTCCCAAAGTGCTGGGATTACAGGCGTGAGCCACCATGCTCGCCAAGAATGTATTACTTCTGTAGTTTAAAAAATAATATTAATAAAATAAAGATCTACACAATGTTGCAGATCTGTCTAGTGATGCACAAACGTTTCTGGAAATAGTCGCCCTTTTTATCAGAGTGTAATTCTGTCCAATTTCTTTCCCCATCCACCAGAGGATATCACCTTTCTCCCTCTCTCCCTCTTGCAGAGACTGCACCCTGCTGCGGGTATTGGCTGGTAAAGTTGTTGGTGAGGAGGCGGAGGGCTCTTTGCCCTGGATTGTCTCACGCCTCTTGGAAGGAAACAACTACAGTGGCCTGCTTCTTCGTCTGGACCCTCAAGGTAGCCAGGGGAGAGTGTGGGGTTCTTTGGGAAGCTCTGAGATCTGTCCTTGGGCCTGCCTCTCCCATCACCCAACCAGCCTCAGCCCCAACCCCAGCCCAGAGAGAGAGCCTGACCCTTCAAGAGGGCCTGAGAGTGCCTAGGCTGACAGAAACTGGAAAGGCAAAGCAAGGTCAATAGTGAAAGTAACTCCTCACTCTTCAGAAGCCTTACACCACTTACCAAGCATTTTCGCACAAATGCCTTTGATTCTTAGCACAACCCCATGAGGCACAAATAATTTACAAATGAGGAAAGAGAGGCAGGTCTAATTTATAGATGAGGAGAGAGGTTATAAGAGAAGGGAAGGGACTCTTCTATTTTCACGTACTCATTAAAAGTCAAGCCTTAGCTGAGCACAGTGGCTCATGTCTGCCTGCAATCCCAGTATTTTGGGAGGCCGAGGCAGGTGGATCACTTGAGGTCAAGAGTTGGAGACTAGCCTGGTCAACATGGTGAAACCCTGTCTCTTACTAAAAATACAAAAATTGGCTGGGCACGGTGGTAGGCACCTGTAGTCCCAGCTACTTGGGAGGCTGAGGCAGGAGAATTGCTTGAACCTGGGAGGCAGAGGTTGCAGTGAGCCGAGATCATGCCACTGTACTCCAACCTGGGCAACAGAGTGAGACTTCATCTCAAAAATAAATAAATAAATAAATAAATAAATAAAGCCTCTGTGTTCTTAATGTAGAGGCTAGAGAAAGAAAAGAAACAAAAATCAACCCTCTGAAATGTTATGATGTCAGGGATTTGGGGGAGGTTATGGTGGGGGTATTGATCAACAGAAATGGCATAAGTTGATAACTATCAAAACCGGGTGACAGGGAGATGGCATTTCCTAAACTTTGTATATGTTTGAAATTTTCCATAATAAAGGAGTAAAAATATGGCTGGCTCTCTTCTCCAAAATCAACAAACACACTATCATTTGGCTAGCAAGTTCCCAGACCTTCCCCTGTGCTAGGCCCCTTGGAATGAGGAACATACGTTAGAGCGGTTCACACTCACAAGGATAAAGCAGTAAGGGCCAGACATGTTTATCTTCAGGCCAGTTTGGTATCATGATAAAGGGCATGGGCTTGAGTTTTGGTTCTGCCACTTGCTGAGAAGTGGCTTGACCTCTCTGAGCTTCCATTGCCTCATCTGGAAAATGTCAGGGGAGGCAGGATAGATTAGAGCTTTAGATTGGAGTGTTGTGTGGATAAAAGAGGCAATCCATGAGCAGCCTTAGTGAAGTGCCGTCAAGCACATGGAAAAGCCTGGTGGGGGTTAGATATTTTAATCAATAGTTCTACTATTGATAAAAACTAAAAGTATTATAGGCAGTACGCTTTGGAGTCCACAAGAAGGCGTAATTCACTTGAAGTGTCCCCTTACTAGGTAGCTCCCTGAGTTTGCTCCAGGCTGCTCTGTTGGGGGCCTCAGGAAGAAGGATGCAGGTGAGACAGGTGAGGCCCACCCTGTGGGATGCAGTAGAAGAGGCTCGGGCCCGCCGGGCTGGTCTGAGGCCCCTGCGTTTAAGCCTCCTTGGGGACACCCTGACGGACAGTGGACTAAGCCAGTTGGGCAGGGCACTTGCGGGAGCTACAGGTAAGCAAGGTGAAGCCTGAGGGTACCTGGGCCAGCCATGGCCAGTGCCTACCTTGAACGCTTTCTCCATAGGTGGTAAAAGCGTGGAGCCAGTGCCCAAAAAGCCAGATGCCCAAAGGAGCCAGAAGTGAGGCGGTGGGGCTTCCAGAACCACAGGTATGTCTTCGCATTCACCCTTTTAGGAGCCTCATTTGTGTCTGCCTTCCGGTCGTCTTTCCAGGGCACTTTGAGGAAGACCTCCATCCATTCATTGACTTATTGATTCCCAGACACTTATTGACCACCCACTGTGTGCTGGGCACAGTGCCACATAGGCCCTGGGAATTCCCTGTCCTCATGGAGCTTATAATCTCCTGGGAAGAAACAATTACACCACCATAATCAGTGCTCTGAAAGGCTTATAAACACAGAGTTCTATGGGGCATCTAAGTTAGCCTTGGCAAGAGAGAGAAGGAAGACTTCATGGAGGAAGCGATCCCTGAAGGAGGTCAATAAAGATGAGTGAAGAACATTGTAGGCAGAGAGAATGACAGGCAAAGTCTCAGAGGCAAGAAAGTGCTTGGTCCCCTTGTGGAAGTGCAAGTAGCTGATTTATTGGAGAACAGAACTTGAGGAAGAGTCAGGAGGGAAGGACTGGAGAGGGCAGCAGGGGGCACGTCATACGGGGCTTTGTAAAACAGAGACATTTGGACTTTGTCTTAAAGGTCACAGGTGAGCCACAGAAGTATTTTAAGCAGGAAAGATAGCACTGTGCCCACTTTTCAGATGAGCAAACTGAGGCTTCAAGGAAATATATGAGGTCAGGCACAGTGGCTCATGTCTGTAATCCCAGCACTTTGGGAGGCTGAGGTGAGCAGATCACCTGAGGTCAGGAATTTGAGACCAGACTGGCCAACATGGAGAAATCTCTTCTCTACAAAAATACAAAAATTATCCCTGTGTGGTGGCACACGCTTGTAGTCCCAGCTGCTCAGGAGGCTGAGGCAGGAGAGTCGCTTGAACTTGGGAGGTGGAGACTGCAGTGAACCAAGATTGTGCCATTGAACTCCAGCCTGGGCAACAAGAGTGAAACTCCATCTGAAAAAAGGAAAAGAGAAGAAAAGGACAGATGTGAGAGGGCTGGGCACGGTGGCTTATATCTGTAATCCCAGCACTTCGGGAGGCTGAGGTGGGTAGATCGCCTGAAGCCAGGAGTTCGAGACTAGCCTGGCCAACATGATGAAACCCCATCTCTACTCAAAAACACAAAAATTAGCCAGGCATGGTAGCGCATGCCTGTGGTCCCAGCTACTCAGGAGGCTGAGGCAGGAGAATCACTTGAACCTGGGAGGCGTAGGTTGCAGTGAGCTGAGGTCGCACCACTACCCTCCAGCCTGGGTGATACAGTGTGACTCTGCCAGAAAAAAGAAAACGATGTAAGACCTATGAGGCTGGGTCACAGGCGTAATCAGAGGCAGCAGAAGTACAATCCCACTCAAGTCCTTAGACTCCTAATCTAGTCCTCTTTCATCTCCTTAGGATGCATGGCCTTTCTGCTCTTCCATGATTTACCACTTGGTGGTTGAAACCCTGCCCCTGTCCAGCCTCTCCTGATCTTTTTTTTTTTTTTTTTCATAATTGCTTACAACTTGTTTTTACAGCCTTAGGCCTTGGGAGTCAGGCATGGTAGCTCCCATTTATTGAGCAAGTGCTTACTGCTCAGTGCTCTCAGTGCACTACTTCATTTCATGCTGTCTACAACTTTTATCAGCTCAATTTGATAGAGAAGAACATGGAGACTAGGCTGATCACCTGCTCGAGGTCATACAGCTAAGAAGAAGAGGGACTGGGACCTGTGATCTGTGTGATTTTCAAGCCCTGATCTTAACCCGCACTGTCCTGGGAGGAAAGGTGTAGAACTGTCACTCCTAATATCTTCTCTGCAGGTGACAGATTCACCAGCAAGCCAGAGCCCATGCCTTGAGGGAGAGCCCCAGGGTGGGTCTGGGACTTGGGGGTGAGCTGGGGATGGGAGGTCTCCTCCGCCTTTAGTGTGATTAATTACATTTTCCTCTAATGGCAGGAACAATGGCATCCCTAAGGCATGAGCTCCACCAAAAGAATCCTCTCAGGCACCCTAAGGAACAGGTAATACCTAATGTACCCCAGGAACAACCTGAAGCCGTAGGGGGAGTGAAGAGCTACAGAGCCCAGCTAACGTGTCCCTGCTTACCCGGCCCCAATGTCAGGGAGAAATATGAAACTTTTGACAAATAAAGGACCTGAGGGTGACTGGACCCCTAAGGGAGGGCCATGGGGAGGGGCTGTTTTCCTGTTGATTGGATTAAGGGTACAGGATCCACTGTGGCACCTCTTGGCAGAGCCACTACCTTCCCCTCCCCACCATGGCCTCCTGAATCTCTGCCCAGGCTACAGGCTCTTCCAGGTCAGTTAGGTCCTGGATGTTGTTCTGGGAGCAGCTCTGGTGATGAAGTTCTATTGGAAAAGCTGGGCCCTGGTCCTAAAGCTGTGCGTACACATGGACTTCTGGCCGAGCCCAGCAGGTACCAGATGTGGCCCTGCAGTTCTTCTTGGCCCAGGCCCGGAGGCAGAGACTGAGGGAGCAGCACCAAATTTGGATTCGAGAGAAGCTGAAGCATTTGGAACATAAAGAGGAGGTGAGCCGGGCGCGGTGGCTCAAGCCTGTAATCCCAGCACTTTGGGAGGCCGAGGCGGGTGGATCACGAGGTCGAGAGATCGAGACCATCCTGGTCAACATGGTGAAACCCCGTCTCTACTAAAAATACAAAAAATTAGCTGGGCATGGTGGCGCGTGCCTGTAATCCCAGCTACTCAGGAGGCTGAGGCAGGAGAATTGCCTGAGCCCAGGAGGCGGAGGTTGCGGTGAGCCGAGATCGCGCCATTGCACTCCAGCCTGGGTAACAAGAGCGAAACTCCATCTCAAAAAAAAAAAAAAAAGAAAAAAAGAAAAAAAAAAAAAGAGGAGGTGGCAGATGACCAGGTCAAAGGCCTGGTGGCTGAAGAGAAGGTAAGGAGGATCAACTAAGGGTTTAAGGTTCTAATTTGTCCAGGTACTGTGCTAGGGGCTGGGAATCCATTATCAATCACAACCAACTGGTTCATACCCTCTCTCACGGCCCTCACAGCCTTGTCAGGGATAGATGAGGCAATTCTCAGTGCTAAGTGATGGGATGGGGTAGCTAGGGGCTTGTGAGACGAAAAAGGCGTATGTGACCCAGGCTGGAGTGGATCAGAGGAGATGGCATCTAAGCTGAGCCTTAAAGAACAGGCAGAAATCAGCCAGGGGAATTCACTGGACACTGAGCTTCACAAGGGCAGTTACTGCTCATCACATCAAGGCACTTATAGATACAACTTATTTGAACAAAGAAAGAAACATAACATGGATATGTGGTGGGGTTGGGTGGAGTGGGGACATGTTCTCAGAGAAGACAAAACAGTATGAGCAAAGGTTCAGAGGGAAGCAATGGCAAAGGGGGTCTGGGAACTGCAAATTCTCCAATCTGGCTGGAGCTGAACAGGTGTGTGGTCAGAAGCACGGCTAAAGAGACAAGTGTGTGCCACAGCTCTGGCTTTAGACTTTACCCCAAGGATAGTTGCAAACCAGTGAAAGGCATGTGCCATGTCAGCTCTGACCTTCACTAGCCATGAGAATTTGGGCAAATTAGGTCTGATTCACTGTTGCCAAATCTGTAAGATGGCAAAGTCACACATGGTTGTTATTAGATAAAATATACTTGACTAAATGCTTGAAGTATTTAGCAGAGAGCCTGGCACATGGGTGGCACTCAGCAAAGAGTATGTGTTATCACTGAAGGCCTGCGAGGAGAGGCAGAGATGGCAGCAGGAACAGATGGTGCTGAGATTCCAGCTGCAGGCCCTTCACAAAGAGCGGGACATGGCAGAGAAGGACCTGGCAGCCCTCTATGACCTGCATGTGCAGGCCACCCGAGCTCGAACACACCATGTGCTGCGGGTGAGTGGGGATGGAGGGCAGGCCTCGAGCTGGCTCCAAGGCTGGCCGAGTAACAGACACCTCTGAATCTGGAGGTAGGTATTCCAAGCCTGGCAGGGCCTGTGGGAGAGGCGGGCCATGACCACAGAGCATCGTCACCGCAGCCTGCTGGCTGGCATCCTGGAAGATACCATCAACCTGGCCACACAGAATCAGGAGCTCCAAGCTCAGAACCAGCAGCTTCAGCAGGGTGCAGACTAGGCTGGGGGCAGTCATGCTGGACCTCTGCCCTGGGGAGAAATCTGATCAGAACTCTTTAGAGGAAGCTTCCTCTCTCCTAATGTTTGGGGCTCATAGAAGGAAGAGAAAGGTGAGACAAAACCAAGCTGATCCTCAGTATGAATGATTAATAACATGAACCACATCTCATTGTTCTAGTCCTTACTAAGTGCCTAATATTAATTTATTTAGCCTCTACACCTACCACATATAGTAGGTACCACTTGATCCTCATTTCAGGGATTAGGCGACTAAAGCTGGGAGAGGTTAAGCAACTGCCCAAGAACACTCAGCTAAGTGGCAGAGCCAGAATTCAAATTCAAGTCTGTCCATCGCCCTACACTGCATAGTAGTGGCTCACAGGCTTCTGTGTGCCTCAGGACCACCTAGGGAGCTTCAGAGAAGAAACAAAAAGATTCCCCAACACTGCTCCCTAAGATTCTGCTTTAATGGGTCTGAGATAGGCCTAGGAGCCCCACCCCCTGACCCTGGCCTTTTTTTAAAGAAACTCACCATGTATTCTACCATAGAAGCAGGGTCTGACATTCCCCTGGCTGTGATTTTAAGACAGATGACAGGCAGGAATTGTCTGCGAGGGAGCCAGAGGGATTGAAAACCAGAACCACATCAGATTCTAGAGTCTAGTTCATCCTGCCAGGCCCAGTACCTTCTGTTCCCGACTCCTTCCGTATTCCCCAGGGCTCAAATTTTATGCTCCAGGGAAATTTCAAAAGCTCTGTGACACGGAAATGTCTCAGCTCCAGGGAGCTCTCAAAGGCAATAAAGCCACTGGCAACACGTTGGAGAAAACAATTTTCTTAGTCTAAAAGTTACCCCAGAATTAAGATACTCAGGACCCCAGAGGAACAAGATTGTTTGAGGGGAGTTGCATAAATAGAAGACACAAGACAATCATGGCTGTGGTTGTAGGAAGCACCCTACAGCCTAGAACACTTTATTAAGACCTTATTGCTTATGCAGTTAAAGAGACACTGATTGAGCTACAGGTTTCCTGTACCCTGTCCCAGGTCACTCTGTGCAGAGCTTCCCCAGGCTGTTGGGAGCTGGGAGGCTGCTAGGCAGGGGCAGGCCCCAGAGTGGGAAGCATGGTACCTCCCAGGAGCCTCAGAATGGGTAGCAGGATTCACGACGGCCCTCAGGGTGAGCAGAGAGGTCAGGAGTGTAGGCTTAAGCCAGGGCCCAGGGGCTACATTTCCTGAGATGAATCAAGCCCAGCCCTCTCTGGGGTTTCCAGAACAAAGGCTAGGTGTGGGGAGCAGCACTGTGGAGAGGGCAGGAGGCTTGTCTCTAGGCATTGCTGGAACTGGGGGAAGATTGTCAGAATGGCTGGGCTAATGTTTGTCTAATCTGTGGCAACTGGGCCTTCCTGCATGAAAGTGGGAGGCTGAGTATCCTTTATTCCTTTATGGAAGAGTCATGCACCAAGGCTAGGCTGGAGTAGCCAGCTCCAGTGGCTCTACTGGGGTGACCAAAGTAGGCAAGGAAAGCCACATGTTGCCCACACCCCACCTTCATCAACCGTGTTCATGCAGGACGAGGCAGTGAGCTTCCCAACAGGGATGGGGTCATTTCTCAGGCCTAGGTATTGATGTTATGTTAATTCTTTAGTCTGGAAGAACTTGGTTGGGGATGGGGAATGGTAAGCATTTCCTTAACCAAACCCACTCTTCACGTCTCCTAGGGGTAGCTTTTCATCGACCTATCTCCAGAGAATAACCTGGCTGCTCTCACTTCTCCAGCTTTTCCCAAAAGGCACTTGTTACAGGGCTGCTGAGGGGATGGGGAGGGCCGCCTGGGAGGGGGGTCTGGTGGTGGCACCCAATATACAGGGTCCAGAGTCAGGGTGGAAGTAGTCAGGGACTAGCGGCTGCCATAGTACAGGCGCATGGCCAGGCCAATGAGCAATGTGGCCAGGAAGAAGGCGGCTGTGAGCTGCAGCCGCAGCAGGACTGCGGAGAGCACGGCGTTGACCACCAGTGAGCAGGACACCACAAAGAGGCGCGTGATGCTGCTGCCGTGCTTCATGACCGCGGACATGAGCAATCCATTTAGCGCCTGGCTCAGCACCACAAGCGCTGCCCATCCTGAGAAACCTTCCAGGAGGCCTGGGCCGGGGCCGCCGCCAGCATGCAGACCTAAATTCAGGAGCACACCAAAAGTGTAGAGGAAGAGGTTCTGAAGTGCCAGGGGCAGCCGCTGTCGCTTCATGAGGAGCTCTGTGTACACTGAAGACAAGCCTGAGATGAGGCAGTACAGGATGAGAAGCAGCAGGCCCAGTGGAGTGATATGCAGGGGCATGGGGCTGGCAGCAGCTGCCGGAAGGGGACTGGGAAAGGTGTTCCCAGGAACTTGAAGGCCCCCCGCTGCATAGCAGGCTCCTGCAGCCATCAGCAGCAGCAGCGCTAACCCCTGACGCACAGAGAGGCGGTGCCGGAGGCAGAGGCAGTAGAGCAGGGCTGTGCTTCCAATCTTGAGATTGCTCAGCACCTGATAGGTGCTGGGGTCCATGTAACGCTGAAGATAGATCACCAGGTTGTTGTTAGCGCCATAGAGCAGAGCTGATAGTGCGAAGGGAGCAGCCTGGCGCCAGGGTGGGGCCCCCTGGGGCCATGCTTGCCAGCCCACCAGAAGGGAGAAGGCGCATAACAGTAGTTTGGTCAGTTCAGTCAGCAGCACGGCTGAGGAGGGCCGGAAGGGCACATGACCGTTCACATGGCACAGCGCCAGCAATGGGGCATGGGCACCATACATAGCAGTGGATAGGAGTAGCATCAAGGTCCAGCGGGCCTGCCTGGGACGGCCCAGGCCCTGCATACCCCCATCCTCTATACTCATACCCACATCAGACCCTAGGTGGCCAAGGGGCAGCGGGGATAACAACACATTTGGGGAAAATCAAGTTACAAAGCCAGCTCCCTGGAAGGAGGAGCTATGGAACATCACCAGAGAGAATAAGGATCAGAGTCATCTACCAACTCCACAGTCAGGGCTTGAAAAGTAAGGGGCTGGTGGCCCTTGAAGCCGCAGTCTTGGGGCCAGTCCCATGGAGTCAGGAAGGGGAAGAAGGAATCCAGGGTGCAGGCTGTGGAACTACTGTCCACACTCTGCAGGAAGGGAGGCAAGGATAAAGGTGGCAGGAAAGCTGGAGACAGCAAACGGATGACAGCTGGGGAATCCAGATAAAGTGTCTCCACCTGCAGGTCAAGCTGCTCATTCTGCCTCTTCCATGGCACCCAGAGCTAGTCAGGCCCCTTGCGTAGCGACTGCAAATAGTCCCTTAATGTCTTCTCCACATTGGGCACAGCATATGCCTGAGCTGCATAGATGCCAGTGCAGGTGCCCACAGCAAAACCCAATACTGCTGATGCCCTCAGTTTGGCCACCACATAGCCAGCCAGGAATCCCTTGAGGAATGGGGAGGACAATAGCGAGCCATCCTGCAGAGAAAAATGCAAAAGGAAACTCAGCTAGGCTCGTCCCTGACTCTGTTCAGGGGCTATTCAAGCTGGGATTAGAGCATTCCACCACTTGCTCCTCTTCACCCTGGACGACCGTATTTTCTCCAGATTTTTCCCAAGGTTCTGGGACCAGAAAAAAAACCCAGCAGTTCTTATCACATGATCTCAGAACCCTGGGGTCAGAAAGCTCCAATCATAGAACTCTACTGCCACACAAGGTCAGAGATGCTCCTAGCCCCGCTGGTTTCTCCAGCCTCATTTCCTAGCATGCTCCCTGACTACTGTAGCTAAGTGGACCTTCTTTCACCCCTCATGTTTATAACGCTACGCCTATCACAATTACATATGCTGTTCTATCTGCCTGGAATGTTCTTTCCTCCCCTCTTCACCTATTTGACCATTATTTAAGATGTTAGTTCATGTGCCATTCAGAAAAAACTGTCCTTTGGGTGACTGAAAATAGGCCTTCAATCATCATTTGCTGAATAAATCTCTACCATTCATTCAACACTCTCAACAGCATGTTGGGCAACAAAGCCTAAGACAGGGGTGGAGTGGGACAGTCTTTACCTGGCCCACTCCAGTGCTGACTTCGTCTTCCACGCGTCGCTGCAGGCGTTCCAGTTGCTTCTTGAGAAATGCCAGGTCCTTAAGCTTAGGCAGAGAATCCTAGGAAAAGGGAGAGGCTGGCTCCAGCAGTCTGACTCAGCCCCACCCCTTGCTCAATTCCATCAGAAGCTGGGAATTGTGAGGGGACGGGATGAGCCAGAAAGATCTTTTCTTATAAAGGCTTCCTGAGATGGCAGTGGCAAAGGAAGAAAAGCACTGAAAAGCACAGAGCTCAAATCGGGGCCAGGAAGGGACTGACAGATGGGATCTGAATCAGTAACTTACATCAACCTCGATAAGAATTTTATATAGCAAGCAGTATGTAGGAAAGGTAGGAAGGACAGCTAGGGGGCCTTTACTTAGGTCCATCAGAAAAGCACTACTGACTCCATTATGAGCTCCTTGAAAGTCGTGACCAGTCTGTCTTGGCTACTGTGTCCTAATGCCTGACATTTTGTAAATGTGTGGGTAATGCTGAGATTCTAGACCAATGGTGAGTACTGGATCGAGGCGGCTTCCTGGACAATTTGATTGTCTTGGTTCCTGTCTGGGCTTTACCTTTTTCTTCCCAAGGCCATCCCAAACTGAATGTGAGTGGCTGGATGCAAGAGAGAATGACAAAAAAAAAAAAAAAAAAAAAAAAAAAAAAAATAGAGAGAGAATGACTGTCGGCAAGTGTGTAAGTAAATGAATTGGGTGATTCTGATTGCATATAAGTATGAAATTCAGAGTGTATGCAAGGGAGTGTTTGAATGAGGGTGGTGTGAGTGTCCGTGTGATTGGAAACATCATGTCATTGGGAAGGAAATTTCAGGGGCTATGGGGTGAAGTGAGAAGTGTTTCAAGGTGAATGTGTTTGAGTATGTGCTAGTTACTTGGGTTCGTGATGGTTCCCAGGAGGGGACATCGGGGGGATCCACGGCTCCTCCCGCCTCGTCG